GTATGAGCAATAATAATGATTATGCTCGCCTAAGAAAGCGCCATTTCACAAGAGGCCTAATAACACTGAAACATGTTGGGGCTTGAGAGTCTCCAAAAATGTACTATCCATTAAAATGTTTTAAACATGACATCTCTTCTGTTGTCTCTGAATCTTTTGAAAGGAGTTGGCCATCTAATTAATCATCTACAGCACACTGAGCATAACATAACCTTCTCTTCCAGACTTCCAAACAGACCATTTTATGCTCAAATGATCATGTACAGAGGAGGGCCGCATTAGCATGCAACTTTTTAAATACTTTTGTGTTTCATGAACGCCGTCGTAAAGCTCTGCCTACATTGCCTATTAAAGTACTTCTAATCTTAATTTCCTTGTACTGAGTAACCCAAGTCTTTCATCTTATCTTAGTAAAGAGCAATGAACAGGAAGAGGACCATCATGCTTGAGTTGCATATTCATCTCTAATGAATTCCATATCCCCCCACACAAACTTTATATCCTATTAGTGATGAAGAACGAGAAGGAGGAAAAGAAGAAAGCCAAGATGCAACATGCCAATTATGAAGATTCTTTTTTAAAGAACAAGATTCTGTTTGACAAGTCATAACAGTCCTCTTCAATATATGCAATCTGGTCATTTTCATCAGACTGCATCTAATCAATTGATATTAAAGAGCATGTTTTGCACGGCCATGGAACGAAACAACAAGATCAACTAGAGCTTTTCTTAATAAAGATTGTAATAACACAGGCCTCGCCATGTCCCACAGTAATGAGAACCCATTTCCTTGCAAACCAATTGCATGTCTGGAGAACAAGAGAACAAAAAAAAAAGGAAAAGAAAATAAATTAAAAGAAAAGATGGCAAAAAATGTGAAAAAAAAGCCTTGTGCTTGATTTTCAGACAAAAATTAGAAGACCAGAACTATATGCTGCTCCAAGCTTTCACCAGCCAAATGTGTATAATATCAGCAACCTTTCTGCCAGATATATTTTTTTACCTATGTGAAGTTTCAGCTAATAAAGCACTAATTGCACCTTCTCTGCTTTCTGTCTTTGGCATTCTGGAACGGGAAAGATTTTGCGTTAATTCTGATGTATTACAGCTGTACGTCTGTGCTGTTTTTTAGGACAGCGAAGCATTTTGAGAGCCAAGTTAGTCATCGTCTTCCTGGCTTTGCGTGCCAGCCATTAATAAACAAAGTTGAGCCTGAAAGATCCCTCTGGTCTATCTTGTCACATAGTTTTTTAATTTAAACTCTTTCTCCCTTTGTGCAAAACGGGAAAGTACAGTACTTCATGGAGATATAAAAATAACTAGAAACAGACATGGGGCATCTTTTGTGAGTAATCGCATACACATTCGATTTTAATACCCTTCTTAATTCATAAACGTGGTCTGCTGTATGTCTGCCAAGACTGAAATATATGATAGTTGTTTAGAACTTTTTCTCAGGGTAGATTTTTTTAAATGTCACAAAAAAGCTATTGAATATGTTAAATGATAAAATACAAGTGAATGTGTCCTTGCATGCTTTGGTGAAACCAAAAAGTATTTATTTAGTATTTATGTAAATAAAGATGATATATCATTTTTATTCACTTGTACCATTTAACATATTCAATATATTTAGACTAAAATAATAATAAATAAAATATACAATTACTTTTAAAAAAATCTTAAATATATGGGGGGAAAAAATACTATGGAAGTCAATGGGGCCCCTCAACTTTTGGTTACTGATATTCTTCAAAATATCTTCGTTTGTGTTCAGCTAAAGAAAGAAATTAATACAGGTTTGGAACAACTTGAGGGTGAGTAAATGATGACAGAAGACTATCCCTTTAAGGAAAAGCAACTACACTTAAAACACAAAAATCTCAGAAGGCATTAAAATTAAAGGCTAAAGACTTTTATGCAAACCATGTTTATTCAAGATATAAAACACTATATTTGACACGTCTCATCCGGGATGATGGCTCATCCTGACCGAAGCCACTAAACCTCACCACATGCCTCTCCATTTCCAAATCCCAATCAGGGGCCCTGTAATTTCGCTAATTAGCCTGTGATCTGTTGACAACTTGACTGGATTATGGGGCGGCTGATGCTTTCTGGTGTCTGAGCGTCTGGTGTTGTGCTTGGAGTAATCCCCGCTTGTAATCGTTTTCCGTTTGCTAATTAAGAGCAGATAATTGCGGCTTGATTTAACAGCGTTTTGCTGACTGTTGACGATTTGTTGCAGGCGTGTGCTGGTGGAGGCAGCTGTTAGGGGAAGGCGGGAGTCGAGATGAGCTTTCATACACAACCGTCTGTGTCGGAACGGTTCCCTAACACATGCTGTCACTCTAATCAGACACTATTAAACTTCAGCTAGGTTTCACCATTTGCAAATAACATTACAGAATGTAGCAATTTGTAAAACATATTTATGGGGGACATTTTTCAACATATGTTGAGGTGACATTATATGGCATCGTATTTGCATGATTCTATTATTTGTGCTGTAATTGTTTTGTTGTCCAAGAATTCTCAATACAAAACCATACAGTGTAGCAAAGTGTAATTTCGGAGCATGCCATGCAGCTGCACTTGTTTTAAACAAGCCAGCTGAGATCCCTTAGAGATGACCACAACATATACGGTCAGATCTGAACGCCCCCGAGTGTCTCATCCATAATGCATTTGCTCCAATAAAGGTGCCGATTAGAGACTAATTTTAGCAGCTAATTCAGGGCTGTACTCAAATATAGGAATTTTCATTTGCATAGATATAAAAAATGAATGAACCACTGAATATATAGTCTGACAACAGGACATGACTTCAAGACATCTGATAACAACCTCACGTCACGCTACCTCCCTTCCCAGTCCTTGTATGGAAATTTAAAATTGCATAATGATATTATATGAGTCCAAGACTGACACCCATGCAAATAATGTGACTTATCTCGGCTCACGTATACAAGCTGTATTTGAACCACAAGTAATGAAAAAGAAAATGTTGAAAGAAAGGCAGGCGTTTCCTTCAACTGCCCTTATCGGCTCAATTTAGATTATTATATTCGCTTTTATCCACATCGGATCGACAGATTTGTATGAATACCATATTGGCAATTATTAAAATAGACAAGGGAACTATTCATCTTGCCGTCAAACTCCATCATTAAACTGACTGACAGCCGGCCGCTGCATCTGAAGCCAATCAGAGGCAAGGCAAACGAGTGGGGTATGAACACAAACCCAGGTGGGTCATTAAGCATGCACAGGGGCAGTTCATGAGTCCTAATGAGGGGTCAGGCTTTAGGTGGGTCACGGCTGGAGGCAGGGTTTCTATCTCATCACATCACTCCTTTTAATCTTCTATTCTCTTAATGAAACTAATAGAGGAGCTGTCGTTGATTAATGATGCTCGACGGAGGCTGGGAAGTATTAGTTTGAAATTTTATCGGTCTTTATTTCCTCCGGAGCTATACGGCTGTTCATTATTTATGAATGTGACTCTTTTTTTTTTGATGGACAGATGGGGTTGCAAAGCCTGTGATGCCATTATTGACTTAAAGGGACAGTCCACCTGAAAATGTAGTTAAAAATCTGTATGACGTTCTTCTGTGGAAGACACGCACACACACACACACACACACACACACACAGTTTGTTTTCTATATCAATATATTTCTATAATGTATTCCTTTGATGGCAAAGCTGAATTTTTAGCATCAATACTCCAGTCTACTACTTACTGTCTGTCTGTCTATCTATCTATCTATCTATCTATCTATCTATCTATCTATCTATCTATCTATCTATCTATCTATCTATCTATCTATCTATCTATCTATCTATCTATCTATCTATCTGTCTATCTATCTATCTACACTGTAAAAAAAATCTGTAGAAATTACAGTAATACTGGCAGCTGGTTGCCAGTAACTTACTGTAGTTTTAAATTGATGTTATTTACTGGCAACAGTTTGTTCAAAGTTAAATGAACATTAAACATTAACAAGTCTTTATCTTTACAGAATAAAACTAAAATAACAGCCTCATGCAAAGCATTCTGGGAACCAAAATCTGAAGGAAAAAAACAGAAAAAGGTTGATGAAGATTTCTGGTTCCCAGAATGCTTTGCATTAGATTGTTATTTTATAATTTTATTCTGTAAAGACAAAGACTTGTTAATGTTTAATGTTCATTTAACTTTGAACAAACTGTTGCCAGTAAATATACATCAATTTAAATCTACAGTAAGTTACTGGCAACCAGCTGCATAATTACAGCAATTTTTTTACAGTGTATCTATCTATCTATCTATCTATCTGTCTATCTGTCTATCTATCTATCTATCTATCCATCTATCCATCTATCCATCTATCTATCTCTATCTATCTGAGGCCCTGTCCACACGGACACGGGTATTTTTATAACCGTGACTTTTTTTACGCGGTTCGGCCGTTCGTCCACACGAAAACGCACTGAAACCGAACATTTTTGAAAACCCCTGCCAGGGTGAGGATTTTCAGAAACGCCGGTTACAGTGTTGTCGTGTAGACAGTGAAACCGGGGTTTTTGCCTTGCGACGTCAGAGTGTGCGCCGTTATCAGCTGTGTTTGACATCAGATTTGCGCTTCTGATTGGCCAACGTGGCTTTAGGGTTAAGGTTTATATCGCCGCCTGGTGGCGTGACATGCTCTTGACCGCGCTTGATTGCGTGTTTTTACGTTTTCATGTAGACAGAGACCGAGCATGTGTGGACGGGATTTATTTTTTAAACGCTGTAGGAAAAACTCCGGTTATAAAAATACCCGTGTCCGTGTGGACATGGCCTGAGATGATCATTAATCTTGACCGAAGTCACAGTCATACAGGTTTGAAATGATATCTTTAAAGGGGCCAGGCTGAATAATAACTGGTTACCTGAAAGTGAAGGAATGAGAGAAGTGTTTTACGTACATGCATTGATGTAAAATGCATTCGTGACCAATGTCTGTGTGTCAGAATTGGGTACTCACTCGTCCACCTCCAGACGACCTCATAGCTGATTAAGAAGTGGTTGCTGATTAGAAGAGTGACTGTGGATGGCCTGAGTGATAGAGCAGGCAAGTTCATTAACTCTTGGTGCATTAACAGTGATGTAATGCAATACAAGCCTCATGAATCCTCCCAGCCAATCGGAGCAGGCGAAGAACAGTGAAGGCGACATGACGGATGGCCTCGTAGATGGCAGCACTGTGACCTTGCGGCTCATTAACTCTTTTGAATATGCACACAAGAACCGGGGGTGTGCTGTAACATGGGGTGAGATGTAACACAATGAGTTAAACCAATTATACATGAGCAACGGGGTGAAATCACTATCATACACCACCTTCGTGATGTGACAGCAGAAGGTGTAAGACTGTACAAAAATGCAAAGGCAAAATTTACTGATATCATCAGGATGCGTGTGGCAATGTAAACATATTTACTGAATGTCGAGACATTCACCTGATAACCACTGTGAGAAAAAATATAGCAGCTTTTCAAGTTTGCTGGCATATCTCAAAGCAAACATATAAAGCTTAGGATTTAAAAAATGAAATGAAAAAATATATCAGCAACAGATACAGTTAAGAGATCAGACAGAGATCAGATTCCCCCCCCCCCCCCCCCCCATTTAATGTTGTTATAAGTGAAGTCAGTGCTGACAGAGCTGGATTACTTTTACCTTTAACCATGACTGCTTGGCCTCCTTCTCATCTGCCTCTGCTTTAAGGGTCTTCGGTGCCTCCTCCAAGGCATCTCAGCTTGCCTGCAGAAGACTGTCGCAGAGAAAACACACACACACACACACACACACACACACACACGGAATGCTTGCTGTATAGCTTTCCAAATGTGGACATAAAGATATACAAAGATAATTAAAATACTATTGAGGAACCCTTAGAGTAACATAAAGCATTATATCACTTTCTAATGATGAGGTCATCTCTGAATGTGAACAAAGAGAGGTTTTGTCAGACCAAACTTACAAATTTATCTCCAAACATACTGATGATATATTGATGATGTTTTTAATACCTTTTGGATTCAAACTAACATATTAATATGTGAAAATATACTGCAAATGGCCCCAAAAAAAAAAAAAAATTGACAAATATATTCTTCTGATTTAAAGTCGGTAGAGTTGGTATGATTTTTTTAATGTTTTTGAAAGTCTCTTATGCTCACCAAGGCTGCATTTATTTTAAACAAAAACACAGTAAAAACATTAATATTTTGAAATATTACTATACACATGGTTCTATTTTAATATATTTTAAAATCTAATTTAGTCCTCATTACTCCAGTCCTCTGTGTCACGATCCCCACACAGTCCTTCAGAAATCATTTAAAGGAACACTTCACCCATTTGCATTAAGCTTTGTATTGTTAGAAACCCAGTCATATATTGTAATGATCGTGGATTTTTCCTTTATTTTTCCCTGAGATGGGAGAAATAAGGATTTAAGTGTTTTACTTCCTGCTTTTTATGACGTAAAAATCGTCATTTTGCGTCATAAAAAGCAGGAAGTCCCATTTCATTGAAAAGTGTAGAGACTACAAACACAAGCTCATCATTTATTCAGGGCGTGGGACTCACTCACGCTACAGACCTATTACAGATCAGTGGGTGGGACTTCACTTGCAGATACAGAAAGCAATATCAGCCATCTTGTTTGGAAGCTAAGCTGACAAGCGCTGTGGAGATAGGAAGTTACGACAATGACGGAAGAAACTAAACATGATATGGAAGAAGAGGATTTTGAAATTCTGCTGCTCGAATCCGGTGTTCGTGGCTATCTTTACGAGCCGCAGTATAGTGAAGAGCAGCTGAGGCTGAGGAGGAGCACAGGAGCCCGGACTGGCTCGCGCTGAGGCGGACTGAAGCGGACGAGGAGCCCGGACTGGCTCGAGCTGAGGCGGGCTGCTGGTGCGTGTGCTCTCGCTGTGCGCTACGGACAGAGTCCATCTGCTGCAGAGAATTTCAACGATCGCAATTTCTCCTGGACGAAATCTCTGGATCAGACGAGCACACGGACGTTTGTGTTGTGATGTGAACAATCCTAGTGTCGCACCGCATTTGTTCTGACTGGAACATACAGGTATCATGCAATAATTCACCATATAGAAAGAAATACAAACGAGGAGTAATTCGCTAATGAGTTTGCCAATGTAACGGGGTTCGTTGTTGTGGGAAGAATGAGACGGGAATCGGCGAACATTTAAACATTTTAATAGTAAAATAAACAAATAAAAAGCAAAAGTATAAGCCAGCAGCCCCTCACTGCTGGCCACACACAACAGAAACAAAACACACCATAAAACCAGGCCTGTTCCTCTCTCGATCTGGACTGTCGTCGCTCCTCGTTTTATGCGTCCGCTCCTCGGTGAGAGACGCGAGAGAGACCGGTGCGTCTTACAGATGTCGATCATTATCACTCACGCCACCGGCCTCGCGCCGCTCTCACGTCCCTCGTCCTGCTCGCCACAGCCAACTAACTATACATTTTGTGTGAAATGAATTTCTAACTCTGGTGGCAGCTCACGTTAGCCTTGTAGACGAGTGATTTATCTGATGTTTGCGCTGTTCTGGAGTAGTGGGAGTGGCTTGCGGAGCTGTGCAATGTGGTGCATTGTGGGAGTTGTTGTCTTTCATACAAATGCGCCCTAAAGTTATTTTCTGTCTTTTCTCGGTCAAGAGGGCACCAAATTCAAAATTTCTTTTACATGTCGACTACATATATGACCCACTTTCAATAAAGATTAATGTTGAAATGGGTGAAGTGTTCCTTTAAACATTTAAAGGATTTCTGATTCAGTGCTCAAAAAAAAAAAAAAAATTGGTTAGGATTCTTTGATGAATAAAAAAGGGGGGGAAAGCATTTATTTGAAATAGCAAGCTTGTTTTGTAAGATTATAAATGTCTATATTGTCACTTTTGAACAATTTAATCTGTATTAATTTAATTAATACAGAGTAAAAGTATTCAAAAAAACTTACTGACCCCAAACTTTTACTGCACATAGTGTAGATTTTCTGCCTTTTTTATTATATTTGCATGTGGGTGTAAAGTGCAGTATTAAACTAGTTTAAAAAATGTAGTTGACATAGTGACTGTATTCTCCCAATCAATGTTCAGTCCTTTTCCAGTCTAGGCAGGAATATTTATACAGCTGTTCATAATGGTCATTAGCAAAGCACACAATTAAAAGTTCAATACATACAAGTAAACTACTGTAGGCATCATCAGTCTGATTCAAATGACTGCCTTCCACTTCCACTATCCAGACACCATGGCTGCTGCGGCCTACAGTGAGGTGGGACATGTCTCAGCTGTTTTAGCTGATGATCTGATGTGACAGTCTCACGATGGTCTTAGTCACTAATGGAAGCCAACATTCCTCAGCATCTCGACCCATGCTCAAACAGGGCTTCCTAGAAATTCCCGACAAGCTTAATAAAACATCAATAGTGCCAAACACACAGTATAGCGAATCAATCCAAAGCATCAGCCGGGCTGCAGCCTGACAGGTGGTGATGGCACAAAAACTCCCCGCGCTCCTCCAGTCTCACTGTAGGGACCACGGGACGCTGCGGCCTGACACCAGAACTCATCACGTGTCTTTGATCACACAGAGGGAAGCACGCAACGTGTCGCAGCTGCGCGACGAAACGCTCCATCTGTCAGATGTTGCTGACAGTCCCGCCCCGCACACTCAGTACGGAGAGGTACTGATCTTTCTAAGTGGTGACTGAGAGGTACGCTTACTGACGGATGAAGGTGACCCAGTTTGTAAGGAGAACTATTAGCATAGCTTTTTTTGTAGCGCTGGGAGGGAACAATGTAACTTTTGATAAACAAGTGGGGAATTGAGGACAGCATCTGAACTTTTGTGTCAGTGATTTGTTCCTCATATGTACAGTTAGAGCTTCTGAATCTTTCACACCGTCTATTTCTCTGGCCTAATAAACTGTAAGATTAGCATCTGGATAGCCAATATTAGCCATCTATGGGGCAACTTATATAAAAAGGAAGATCTGTTCACTCGGCAGCCATATTTTCAACGCCTCCAGGCAGCTATTTCGGGCGTCCAAGATAGTATCTACTTGAATGGGGAAATCCTGAAATCTCAAAAACTTCTTTCCGAACTCACAATTAAATAACATATTTCAATTCAGCAACAAAATCTGACATAAAATGTCCCATAAGTGTTGTTTCTTATGCACAAATAGCGTTATAAAAGCTTATTTTTTTAGGCTGTACCAGCCAATGCGCATGCGAAAATATATAAATATTATACCTAATTCAAAATATTAATAAATATAATAGTATATAAATTATACTATACTATACATTTCCATTTCAGACACTTTTATCACTCATTCAAGTAGCCAATTTAAGTTGTGTGCTATAGGCCTAGAAAAACAAGAACGCATGTATCTTTAGAATTTTGTGTTGAACTTCAGTTTTTGCTGTAGCTCTGTATATTTCCGTGGCAGCGCTACCGAAGAGTAAGTAGCTGGTGAAGTACAGTAGATTTACTTATTGTAGAGTTAACAAAAGTTATCATGAGCATTGTAATGTTTGAAGCAGATGTCATAACAAATGTTAGCAGACCGGGAAGATTTTAAACGAGCGGTTCATTCATAAATCCATAAGATCATACCACCATAATGTGGAAATAAAAAAACGGAAGACAGAACACAATGAGCGCAGCGCTGAAAAGGGGTTTGAAAAGCGCTACATAAGGTTTTATTCAACATTTGCTGAAGCTTTGTAATGAACAGACCAAAATTTTAAAAAATTATAATAATAATGTTCATTATCTGTTTATTATCTTATCAATTAAATGCCATTTCATTATCTGCATCCATTTAAAAAGGTTACATGTAGAAACATCGCCTTAAAACAAAGTATTACCCAGGTTTGTTTTGACATTAGGGCGAATAAATGATGAAAGAATGTTCTCTTTAAATTGAGGCAGAGAACATTCTAACTACAGAGATGACTATTATGTTTTTAGCACACAGTGAGGACATCACTGAAATGAAGAAATCAAGACATAGAGGTGAGTTACAGAATGGAGCGATAACATCTGTGGATTCATTAAACAAAGCTGCCAGAGTTCAGGGGCAAATGAAAAGCCCATCAACCATCTGGAGGACAAAGAAAAATCATATAATTGTTCAGACTTACGCAGAACTAAAGCCAGAGTGCTTCAGTTGGCCGTTGACTCCAGAAAATGTAAATTCCAGAAAGCATGACATCTGCCTCTCTCCAAAGTTTAGGCCTCATCTGTTACAAATTATTCCCATCTATGGTGAGGAAAGAGGGAGAAAAAAAGTTAAATGCATTAGAGATGGAACTTTTATATAACATGGTTTGCAGTGGCTACGCTCAAACTACTAATTCCTCCAATACACTTAATGGAAAAGAAGAGCTATTCATTTCCTCACAAACATGTCCATTAGGAGCAGAGATGGCTGGCTTAGGAATCTGTGTTGATGTGCTGCTCTTTACGGCATGTAAAAGAGAAGCTGAACTGATTGGCAGGGCATGCATACATGCATTCTCTCTCTCACTCGCTCCATCCTCTATTCTCTGGGGTAAAATTATCTTTTGGAGCTGTGCCAGCTGTCCTTGTTGAAATGGCAGAGGAAAGTGGACATGTTCTTGTCTGAAACCAGCTCCAGATAAAGTGATTATGTCTTACATTATGCCACACTGGGATTTCTTCATCATGCAAAGTAGCAGGGAAAAGAAAAACGGAGGAATGAAACATAAGCAAGAATTAAAATGAGAGTGAGATAAATGGCTACAGTGCTATCAGCCATCTTGTAGCACTTCATATCATCCATCTGGACTCAGTCACAAGTCACCAGGCATTTCAGCAGATGGGTTATTATTATAATCATCTGAAAAGATGCACACAGTTTGCCAATTCAAATTGAGAGGGAACATACCACCTCACTTTTATAAGCTTGAATGAAACTCAATAATAATTAAATAATAATAATAATAAAAAAAATAGTTTTCATAAATTTGATTTTTTTTTTTAGAACATGAAAATGAGAAATGTTGTTTTGAAGTTTTTTAATTTCAGTTAATGTTTATTTTAAGTAATGAAAATATTTTTTATGGGTTTTAGTTTAATAAAGTATAACAACCCTGCATGTGGCATCTGTCAGAACACAGCTTTAAAACATTAATTTATATGCTGACCTCCTCTTCACAAACAAGGAAAGAAAACGTCCCAACTAATGCTTTATGGGTTACAAGTGTTAATTAATTACTCAAATGAAGTTGTAAAAGAATACATTGAACTTGAGATGGCATGATAGACGGGTGTGTTCTCAATTATTTCCTTTCATCTCATTGGATCAGACTCGAGAGAAAAGAAATCTGTTTTAATAAAGACATAATCTTATTTTAAATAAATATGAGATCAATTCTCCAATATCAAATTTGGGGATGAAAACTGAAGCAGTAATGGGGTGACTGCGACAATGGGCTGAGAGATGGAATTGGGAATTGGATGGAAAAATAGAGGCATTATTCATAATACGTTCATCTTCCAGTGCAAGCAGACTAGCTTCATCTCTCTCTTCTCTATTTCTTCTTTCTACAGTTCTTCACTCTTATAATGGCCATTCTGCATCCTCATTTCCCAGCTAACAGCACAGATCACATCAGAGCCGTCCATTCATTTGGTGCAGTGTGAAGAGAGCTAAGGGTGCGTAGAGCGAGTCACTACAGGAAGCTCTAACGCTTACACGGGCTCCATGCGCGCTTTATGTCAGATTCCTTGACCATCTAAATGAGGGGTGCAGAATAGTATCGCTTCGACATTCAACTAACAAACCACTTGGCTTTCAGGCCTTTTGATTTTGTTTGAAAGCGGGAAACAATCCTCAGCTTAATTGACAAGATGGTGCGAAGCCAAGAAAGCAGTGAATGAACAGCCCTCGACGAACACCATTAGCCAACCAGAGAGCACCTCAAACTTTTATAGAGTCTTCAGCTTGTCCAGCGAGTGACTGCTTGGATTCATTAACAGGAAGCTGTAAATTGAATGTCTTTTGCTCAAGTGTATCTTATGTGAGAAGGTGAAGGCAACTTTTAAAGAACCTCAGACAATGAATGACGCCGCAAGCTGTTTAGGATAAACAAAAGCAGAAACCGATAAATATACGTTTGCTTTGTCGGTGCTGGAGGCGTTCAAAATCTTGTTCTGTTCTTTGATCCGTCCAGCCAGCCTCCTACCAGCAGATCTGATGAGATGAATGCTGAAAATTGAAAATGTAAACTAGGCTATCTATTTGTTTCTATAGAATAGGGTGCAAATGCTTGGCTAATAATAATAAAAAAAATAATTAAAAGGGTTAGGGTTCCTTTTGAAAAATATTTAAGATGTCCTGTAGTTATGGAAGCTTGTTTCTATCACTGAATAAAAAATAAAAATAGTAATTGCTTCTTTTTATCTCACAATTCTGAGGTTTTTTTACATCTCGCAATTTTTCTCCAAATCGTGATATAAACTCGCAATTTATCTCTCAATTCTGACTTTATAACTTGCAATTATGAGTTTATATCTTGCAATTCTGACTTTATAATTCCCAATTGCCAGTTTATATCACACAATTCTGAGAAAAACAGTCGCAATTACCTTTTTAGTTTTTTATTCTGTGGCGGAAACAAGCTTCCATATAAAACTAGTCTGAGGAAAATTTCTTAATGAGTTTTTATTAGTCTTTGGTTTGTCAATATAAATATCTAAAAAGAATACAACATTAAGATCTTTTCATATATTCTATGTTGAATATAAGGGTATTTTGTCTTGCTGCACTGGTAGATTTCTCATTCTTACTCATATTTTTTAACTCATACGTACAAAATGCACTTATATTAAAGCCACATTATTTGAAACCCTATGCACTCTTAAGGCAGAGACATATTAGAAAAGCTTCGGCTAACTTTTGCGTGTAAACAAGGTCCATTGTCAACAGTGATGGATGAAGCACCACTTTATATTGGCCAACGCAGCCAATTCATGTGTTCATCAAACAAACCTGAATCCAAACTTGAAAAATTAGACAAAAATACTTTTAAAAATAGATTACTTTGCAGTGTACCAAATGGGGGCAACAGAGGTACCTCCAAAAGTCTATGCCAGGTACACTGTAAAAAATTATTGTTGATTTACCTAGATTGATTGTTGATTTTATTTAAAAAGTAAGCTACCTTGTTGCCTTGAATTTTTAATTCATTGAAATTAAAAATTTGAGTTAATACAATGAAGGAGATTGGTTTAATAAATAGAAATTCAAAATATTATGTTATCTGAACCGCATTAATTATCTAAGTTGATTTGACAAAAAATTAAAAGTTGTGATGACAAATCATGAAAATAATTTTTACAGTTTACTATTAACATATCAAGTTTATCTTACTTGCTCAAGACGATTCTATTTAAAATGTTGCTCTGTCATTGCAATAGTTAACTAGAAAAAAAAAAATACAGAAAATGTTTGGAATAGTCCTCCAGGTGGCCATGCTGAGAACATAATTTATAATTGCATAGCATTATGAATTGTGGTCTGTCACATTTTGGAACTCAATGGCACAAGAATTTCGCTTGTATAGCTAAACATGAACTGACTAAATGCTTCTAATTCGGGTTTCGCTGCAGACTCAGCAAAAGCAGCTGTGAGAGTGTCGAGAGACTTGAAACCTTACAAAATCTCCAAAGCAAACTCTGACAACTCTCAAACACAAGCAATGCACTTTGTATTTATACAAGAGGTAGATGTAGAAACTTGTTCCATGTGTTAAATGCTCAGAATTGACTTGCTGGGTGTTGCAGTTCAGCTTGAGGCGTCAACAAAGGCCTTCCCCGCATTCATATTCCTTTGCTCTGAATCATATTACTGCAAAGACAAACATGGAAGACAAGGTCATCGTGGATTGTTTTGGATTTGAAAGGCAGAACTATCATATGAAGGATCAGCAACGTCATTCGATTTTGAACAACATGGCACAAATGGATCTCAATAAGCGTGTGTGAATGTTGTGGAGTTTAGACCCCAGGAAGGTAATAGTGGGCGATAAAGCATTACTAAACTGCATGTAACAACAATGATCCGAGACTCAATGGCTTTCATCAGAGCTGATTGTATCATGATTGGCCTTAAATTGCAAATCAAACACTGTAGTTGTAATCAGAGCAAGAGAGATACAAAGAGAAACAAAGCATAGCAAATGTGTGCCTTCTCCAAGTACAGACTTGGAAAATGAGGACGGAAAGTAAGGTTGACCTCTAAATATAGCATGCCCTGCTATTCAAAAAGGCCGCATGGGGATTCATGGGGGCTTTGATATTTTTCTTTTGACATTTCTTAATCAACTAGCCAAATTAATATAATTCTTTATTATTCAAACAAACCACAAAATGTGGGTGGTCTAGGAAGGTTGTTGTGCCACCGGGCCGCACATCATTAGGCAATAACCCTTCAATGAGCATTACCTCAGACATCACCATAAAAAGCCATTGTTCGCCATTCAAAAGTGATATGAATTATGCGCTGAGTTTTATGAAGCTCATTTGCAATGAGGTCTTGTCGATGAGCTTGGAGGGAAAACGTGTTTAATATGAACGGTAATAGCAACCAGGGGAGGGCTGAGAGAAATGGGGAAAAAGGATAATGGGGAGAAGAAAATAAAAAGAAACTTGAACGAGCAAGTGATCTACAGTATACCGCATTAGAGAAAGAGGGCAAGGCTTTATGTTTACATGATAGCTGGCCGATATATTGAAAACTCACGATGATTTTCGTGACAGCACTCAAGCATCAAAGCCTTTGTTGTCCAATAATCAAGCAATTTACATTTACTTACATTTTAGATAATATTGACAGTTACTTCTACCCTATTGCTCCGCCCATTGAAAGTAGTTCCAAAAGGCCAATTCACACCGTGCCAACAGACAATTCATTGGGTTTTGTCAGATCAGTTAGTTAGTTACTTTGGACTCGTTATGTTTTGTCATCATCTGCCTACGTCACTCATTTGTTGTCACAGACACTAATCACGTTCAGCTGTGCACTCATCAGTCACCATCATTAACACCTGTATATGTTCAGTTTTGTTTCAGTTCAGTGTCCGGTATTGTCTATGTTCAGTGTGTGTTGCTATCTGTTTGCCTTCCTGTTAGATCTTTAGAGAATAAACATTTTTAATTGAATCGTATACGTCTTCCTCATCTGTCTGCCAGCAACCACCCGTGACAGAATACCAAACCAAACAAGTGAACGCGTTTGTAAGATTATTTCTTTTCCATTTTTCGTGTTCAGTGTTTTTGTTCCGTTTTCACCCCTGCTTTGCACCATGGAGTGTCCGGCAGTTAAGCTCATGTGCCTTGAGTAGGAAGAATGCTCTCTCGAGGAACATTTAGAAACATTTCTAGATCTCGCCCATCTGACCACCTTCCCGGATAACTGCCTGAAGGGAGCTTCGCGTCATATGTGGAGTGGGTGCTGGCGTCTTGCGGATCTGCGTTCACCGCCGAGGATGCTGCCAACCCCACTCCCCATCCAGTGCCCAGCCAGAACAACCCAGACGGCGAGGATCGTCGACTTGAGCCCACTGCAGGTAGCGCGACGCTGCGATGAATGAGCCCACACCCTCAAGATATTTGTCTAGTCCCTGTTTTGCTGTTTTGTTGCCCGAGCCTGTCAATCCTGAACCTGTCAGTCATCTGCCTGTCTCGTTAGCCCCTCCCTCTCCAAACTATCCAGAACACTTTTGGGGGGGGGTTCTGCATTGGCCTTCAGTCTCTCCCCCAGTCTCCAGCCATCTGTGCCACCCAGTCATCTCTGTCACCTTCAGTCCCTCGGCACCACCTCTGCCTCTCAGTAGCGTGGTACCACCTCGGGCCTGTCAGGAGCCACCCTCGACCTCGGTGTGGACCATCGGCCATTCAGTCTCGCCGGACTCCCTCGGCATGTCGGCTCCACCAAGGTCAGACATCAATTCACATTCGCTGCGGACTTGTGGACCGTCCTCTCCTCTCTGGTGCTCTGCCCTACCTCAGGCTCCACCTCCGCCCTCGGTCGCTCCAACTCTCCCTCAGACCTCTGGACCCCCACCTCGCTCTCGGGAGGTCATCGCTGCGACTCCGTCGCGGCCTCCAAGATCTTCACCATCTCTCCACCACCTCGGCTCATCAGCTGCGCAGTGGGCTCCATACTAACCGTCGTCTTCTCCGCCCCATGGCGCCCTACGCCGTCGTCAGCCCCATGGCGGCCCTAATCAGCATTCCTCCATGGCTCCTCCCTCCGTCAACGCCGCCGTGGGGCACCGCCCTGGCTGTGGCCTGAATGGAAATCCATCAGCCCCTGCTCAAGGTCACCCCTTGGCTCACTCCACCCTTATCATCACCATGGATTTTGTTGTCCGTCCTCCTCCCGGTCGTCCGTCCACCCGCAGAACCTTCCTCTGCCTGTCTGTGCCAACCCTTCACCATCCCCTCATCCTCTTCATCTTCTCTTCACGGCGCGAGGACGCCCTTAACGGGAGGGGGCGTTCTGTCACATTCACTTTAGTTTGGACTCGTTATGTTTTGTCATCACCTGTCTACGTCACTCATTTGTTGTCACGGATACAAATCACGTTCAGCTGTGCACTCATCAGTCACCATTATTAATATCTGTATATGTTCAGTTCTGTTTCAGTTCAGTGTCCGGTATTGTCTATGTTCAGTGTGTGTTGCTATCCGTTTGCCTTTCTGTTAGAGAATAAACCAGAGCCGGCTCTCCCTATAAGCGAACTAAGCGGCTGCTTAGGGCCCCGCCGCCACTAGGGGGCCCCCTAACTACAGATGGTAGTCGCCGGCGTCGCTGCTCAAAGTGTGGGGCGCGCCCCACTGGTGGGGAATAGAGACGTGACAGGTGCGGCGCGCCAACGGGAGGAAATTTGACTTTTTATGCCTTTATATCTTTATTCGTTCATGGCGAGTCCACATCGTCAACTTCATCAACTTCATCTTTGCAACGACGCAGAAAACACCAGTTTATTAATAAACAATTAAATGTCTCTTTGCTATTTTTTACACATTCATAATCATTAGCCTGGCTACTTTTGCCGGTTTGTGCGCTTGAGTGCGGCTTTATAACACTCATTATCCTGTATAGCCTATTTAAGTTATTAAATCAATATAAAGGGGCGATTTGTCCACTAATGGCTTAAATAAACAACTTCTAGTCGACTAGAAAAAAACCTTAGTCGGAGGCAGCCCTTATTCCGCATATTTTCGAACCAGCAGGGTTGAGCGCGCGACCCTGAGCGCCGGAATGAGCGAGCGGAGGAATATTCAGAAATGCGCTCTCCGCTCACATGCTCTGATCGGAACAAAGGAATATTAAAATAATTAATCATTAGTTTATATCTCATACACTGCTTCTCATCTCATTTCTCTTCATTTCTTTTTTTAACAGATTGCAAAGTGGCACTTTTATTTCTTTTCTATTTTTGAACTTGATACACATTTTGACACAGCTGCACTTTTATTTTCTCTATTTTTGAATTCCATGCAAGTTATGACACAGCTGCACTTTTATTTTCTTTAATTTTTGAACTTGCTGTTATGTTATTTGATGTAGACAGTTAGTTTGTATTTAGAAACTACTTGTTACTTCAATAAATTGGAACATTTTAAGCTTGTTGCGTATTTCATTAGCATTAGTGTTGGGGCGATGGCGGCAGTGGGGCTTGAAAATTCCCCCTTGTCCAAAGTGGGGAATGACCGAAAAAGTTTGAGAACCACTGCGTTAAGTCAACCAACCGTGTCAGATCGTTGTCTTCCCTGGACTTGGAAATTTGACCGCAAAAATGAAACGAGTCTATCCATCGGGTGCAGAAAAAAGAAGAATATGTTTAAATCACTTTAGAATGAAGCAAAGAAATTACTGGTCCAACTTCTCCCTCTTTTTATAGTGTGGAAAAGGGAAAAGTTCAAAGATCGAGACTCCAGCAACACCTGTAGCCTATATGCAACAACTTTATTGAAGATTTGTTAGATTGGGGTTAGATTGTATTTGCTGGTTTGCGGTGGCAATACTCCATTATTTACTGCAAGGCAGGGCCCCCAGATTTACAGAGCCGGCCCTGGAATAAACCTTTTGAATTGAATTGTATACGTCTTCCTCATCTGTCTGCCAGCAACCGCATAATTTCACAGACTTGTCAGTCTTTCTGGAACATGCAAAAAAAGAGCAGAGTGATAGTTTTTGAGGAATAATGATAAGATTTAATTTCGTTTTACTTAATTGTAGTCACGTTAAAACGAAGACCCTCTACAGTGGGCTGGATTAACACAAGGCGCCAAAGTCATTGGCTAGTACTCACCTTTCACTGTCCGCGTTTTGATTTCAGCAAATCACTTTGGGCGCGTACAGACAGCGTGCTGGAAGTCGTCTTTTGACAATCGTAAGTTGATTTAGTCAAATAAATAAAATACTGTAATTTAATCTGTTGCAATACTTTACATCTAAATACCCCTTTTTTCCCAAAGAAACACTGAATGACCATGCAATAATGTCTCAAGCACTACCAGCCCAACTGTTTAAGTTCTGTTTAATATGAAAAATATGCATTTCCATTCATGCATATTTGCAACAGTGTTTTAGTTCTATTTAAGTTTATGATTATATATGCCCTGCTTCCTTGTGTTAATTTCTTGAAATAGCTGGAAAAAATATATTGATTATATTAACTATTTTTACTAGTTAAAATAATATTTCTAAAGATTTAGTTTTGAATCTCCTTGACTAATCGCTCTTTTAGGATAAAAAATTATTTTCAGAGCAAATACATTCATTTCAAGAAATCATTTACAGTATATCGTTTTTTCACTGCACTTCCCAAGCCTTAGTACCCATGTGACACACAAAAGGGGGCGTGAGAATCCTGGGAACTTTGGAATTTGGATGAGAAACTTCTGGACACGGTGTGTGCGCATTTAAGCGTGTCCATGTTGAGGTAGCTCCACATACTTCTGCTCTTTGATCCAGCGACGGAGGTTGCTGACCAGCGGTGTGCTCTCCTGGCAGAGGTGAACGGTGTCTATGTGGGATTCCTCCGGGGCCAAGCTTAACCGCTGCAGCTGTGCGAGGGAGAGACAGGATCAAAGCACACCCAAAAAACACACATACACACACTATATGAACACACACTCTCTCCATCACTAATAATAACCACCTCTGCCCAGAATCAAGTCTCCTCTCTCGCTGGCCCGGCTCTCTGCTCACATAATCAGGGTTTCCTTCTACATGCTATTAATTGATTCAGTATGCTTGGAAGAAGTGGTTCCCGCGTTCCCATGTCTCAGATTTTCTTGTTTATTATGCTAACCATACACGAGACTCCCGCACTCTCGAGGGGGTAGAATTCTAATCAGGTGAATTCAATTACAGAGCTCCTGATCCTGATTTTCTGCTGGGCTCCAAGTGCACAACAAGTCCCAGTGAGAGCGTATATTGGTGTCAGCTTAAAACGTCTTTCTTTTGGAGTTATTTTTCTCTTTTTTTGCTCTCTGGCTCTCCTAGAAGGCATGCATGTATTAAACATTTTGCACAAATGGTCGAAGTTCATATCTGGATTCAATCAAAATACAGGAGACCCCACCTGAAACAAAAGCAGACGGCACAGACTAATGTAGAACAAATGTTCTTAGTTTCAAACTCAGGTCTAGTGCTTTTAGTGGCCAAGCTGAAAGACATACAGAAGTAATAAAATTAAAACACAAAAGACAGACAAGTGTATAATTTATTGAATGTCAAAATACTTTCTAATATTTCTATTTAATATTTTCTACATATAAAAAAAAACTTTTTTTTTTCTCCAAGCCAATTTTCTCCTATTTTTAAGCATAAATCTTTTTTTTAAATTTAGTTTTATGATGTAAAGCACATTGGTCAACATGTGTTGTTTTAATAGTGCTATATAAATAAAAGTGACATTGACATTGATGAAATGCTTAAAACAAGAAAAATCTGCCATTAAGAATAAAAAAAAAAAAAAAAAATTAAGATATATAATTTATTTTCCTTTATGGTTGTTATATATACACACACACACACACACACACACACACACACACACACACACACACACACTACGTTTAAAAAAAATTGGGATCGGTAAGATGTTTATTGTTTATCTCTTATTTAATTTATCTAACTTTCTTGTGTTTTTGTATTATGTTGCCACAAACAATTTGTACTTCAACTTTATTGTTCAAAATTTTGTGGTCGATAAAATTTTAAAAATGCTAGGAAGAAGTCTCTTATGCTTCAAGGCTGCATTTATTTGATCAAAAATACAGTAAAAACAGTAATATTTTGTTATTTCTTATTATTATTATATTTTAAAAAAAAAGCAGCCTGGACATTCTCCTAAACAACTTTTTTGTTCTTTACAGTAAAATACAAATTAAACAGCAGGGTTCAAACATTCAAACAATATGAGTATGAGTAGATGGTGATAGACTGTTCATTTCTGCATGAACAATATATTTAAGAAGTCATCCCACCTACAATCTCATTCCAGAGACCAGTATCAAAAATCCAACATATGCTGGAGTCCTTTCAGCAGTGGAAAGCATGAGAGACAAGCAAGCAAAGAGAAAATTGAGACAGTGAAATTGAAAGATAGCGCAAGAGTGAAAAAGTAAGTGGGAGAAGAAAAGAGAATCCCCTCTGAATGTTCTGTAAGCCATATGTTGTGCATATAAAGCACTGCTGTGTGCCGTGGTGATTCATGACTCCTGTAGACAATCCTAATATTTTTCCAGAAGCTGTTAGGACTTTGAGACAGTCACTACATTCCCTGTCTAGACACCACTTGTCAGAATTACGCAGTTCGAAACACTCACGAAGAGAGAGGGGAACTTCAAATGATGACTCAATTCAATTGGCGATTCATTCTTCTGTCTTCCTTCCATTTTTCCATAATGTGGCTATTCTCAAGCTACGTGTCAAATGTTTTTATATGATTTTCCAACTAATGGCTAGAGGCTGTATGAACACTGGACCTTGTGCATATTAAGTTAATGGAGGCAGTTCTATGCATGGCTGCACTGTGTGAATATATGCTACATCCAGCACTCCATGTGCTGATTATATAGATCGAGAGAGAAAGATAGAGAGCAAATGGGGGAGAGGGGGAGGGAAAGAGAAGAAGAAACAGACAGATAGAAAGAGAAAACGGAGACCGAGTGGTGGCAGCTCATGATGATTAAAATGGAGATTAAGCAATTTCAGTTATCAGCATGTGCATTTGGTTTGTCAGTTATCTCACCTCCTGTAGGTACGTCTCAGTCATCTCCAGAGAAACGCTGTTACAGAGCAGCATGTGTGCCTGCATTTGATCTTATATTCTAATACGCAACGAGTGCCATAAAACTGATGCTTACAGGTTTTCCAGGGATTCCTTTGAATAGAGCATTCAATGTTTAGCTGCATTATCTTCCTAGGTTGTGAGCCGACTACTGAATTTGCAGCTTGCAGAATCAGTGAAAAGAGATGTATATCCCTAAAATGTACCATAGTTTCCACAAAAATACCCTAGCAAACCTCATAAAAACACGTGAAGGAGATGTCAAGTTAAGATTTAATCTCAGAATCTATATAATCTATATAAGAATAAGATCCTTTAAGATTTTCGGACATTGTCATGATAATTAAGCATATTCTTCCTCAATTCTGACTACTGGTGAAGAAAGAAAAAAACAATTCTCATAATAAAATTGTACTATATTATATTGTTTTAGTATTTGTTGTACAGCCTTTAAATTTTTTTTTATTATTATTTTATTTTATTGAACATAAACACTCCTACATGCTACCCTGAGGAACAACAACATATTTAATAATAATATAGGAATAGGCATGCAACTTTTTGACACCATACACAACATCTTTAATAGTAATAAATTGTACCTGTCAGGGTTATTATTATTAAGTAATATATATTAGTTTTAGTTAACAATAATAACCCTGACAGTAGGTACAATATACGTATATATATATATATATATATATATATATATATATATAGGTCATAAAATTAAAAGTTGAAAAATAAGTTTAAGCAGTAATTTTACGTTTGAAATAAATGACAACTAAAACTGAAATAAAATAAATTAACCATAAACAGTAATATTTTTAAAGAAATGACAAAGCACAACACAATTGCTAAAAAAAATTTACGCAAATTGAAAATGTACAAATAAACCTAATTCAAAATATGAATAAAAACTATGAAATTATATACTAAAATAACTTCCTACTGTAGCAATATAAAATTCAATCAGTTTATTACGATTTATTACGAAAAAGTGCATTACATAATGAATCATGAGAATTAAAGAAGAGAATAAGAGAATAATAAGAATTAAAAAATGGTCATATGCATTATAATAATGAGAATTATTTGAGAAAATGTGCTTGTTCAGTTTTTGTGCATATGTCATTTCACTGCATGCTAATACCAAAGGATTTGATACACCCAAAATCATCAGATATGTCATGGTTTGGTTGTGTTGGTGGCCTGGAGGGCAGCCCACACACAGGTGCACAGTGTGTTAGACCAGTGTGTGTTTGTGAGTTGAACATCTAAAAGTATGTGAAGGACAGAAATTGAGAGTGTAGTTGTTTGACCTGTGACCTCCTGTGTCCTGAAGTCAAATTCCTCCAACAGTAGGTCCCAGTTCTCACTCTCTGGGTGCTGCTCTGACAGGCTTTCTGAAGCCGCCTCAGCTCTAGCTGGAAGCTACACTCGCCTCTGTTCCTAAAACACACACATACACACAGAGACTGAGTTTCTCGTTCAGAACTTTTTCAGAAAAAGATTCATTTTGAAAGATTCAGGACTGCGGTGTTACCAGTATCAGAACTACCATAGTGCTTTGATATAGGTACATATGGGAAGTTGAAATGAAATACTCTGGAAAGTTGATATGTCCTTTGGTGTGACTCAATATAATTAATCTAAATCTATTTTAAAGTCATGGCTGATGGCTGGCTGGGCTCTATGATGTCCACTGGAGGATTTGAAGCAGGATTGGCAGTAATAGACACAGAGATTGTGGAACAGGCTTCCTCAATTCTTCTTCCACGTTGAGGGAAGAACAGTTATCCACATCCATACTCGATGTACTGGAGCAGGGAACATCTGGACTCACCCATTGGCATGATGTTCATGTTAAAAAAAATACCTTTTGTTAGTGAATCTTCATTTTGAGTTCTTCAAATTATGATGGAACACAGACTCCACAACACATTTCTCATCCCTGTAAAAAATATACAATTTGATCTATGAATCTAAATCACATTACTATAGAAAAATCATGGTACAATTTTGTAAGGAGAAGCAAAATGTTTCAAGTGTCCGAATTTGAAGGTGCCAGAAAGCTACACTACATCCAACAAGACAATAACAACCAGTGAGCCCTCATAGTGACAAATCCATCAACACAAACAAAAAGATGAGACCAGACCACCCTGATTTACAGTGTGTGTGTGTGTGTGTGTGTGTGTGTGTGTGTGTGTGTGCTGTCTCGGATGCAGTGCAGTGACAACGGCACAAGCCACCTCTCAAAGCTGTTAAGGGCCTTTCTTCCAGCGCCACATAAAGTAAGACATTAATTCAGTATTAATTATACAACACGTCAAACTACATCACAGTCCCGGCTCCCCCGGAGTCTCTCGAGCGTTCTTAATGACAGTAATTACCACTCATAAAAAGACCCATCTAAAATTAACATTTCTTCTCCGCCTTGATAGAGAAAATGTAAATAGCAGTGAAGTACAGATGTTATGATTAGGTCCAAATTGCACATCGTTCTTTTGTTTCCATGTGTGTCGGACAGAACAATGGCAACTTGACAAAAGCACCACAGGCCAAATTTCTCAAAGGAGGGGGAATGCGGACCACTTCAGGAGGGAACCTGTTTAACATTTAGATTGTTTCTCCTAATGGGGGGTGCAGGGCAAGATATATATGTGTGTGCATGTGTGTGTGTGTGTGTGTGTGTGTGTGTGGTTGTACAGTTCTGTGTAGCAGTGTGTGGTTGTACAGTTCTGTGTTGCAGCAATGAAATGAAAGAGAAGATAATGTTGTCCACTAAAGTATAAGATTTATTTGCTGATCCCACAGAACAGGGGTAACATTGTGTGACATTATAATATCCTTTCTTTGTTGAAATCAAACAAATCTGGTTGAGACAGGTTCAGTTTGGATAATTTAACATCTAGCATTTAGCATTAGCATTGTTATGGGCCACAACTAAAATGACCTTCTAATCAGTTGCTTAAAACAAAGTAGAATATCATGAAAGTTAGCAATCTTGCCCCAATACTGGGTTAAGGTAAAATAAAAATAAACTAACTAATTCAGATCCAATTGACCTTTAGGTTTTGATGAGTAATGAAGGTGCTGAAGACCCCCCTACTCATCATCCCTATAATAAATGCACAAATCTAATTCAGTAAATAACAAACCTAAACAGGTAATGTAACAGTATAAATTATGAGGTCATTGTACCATACATACACTATTTCCACTATAAGTCAACAACACAAACAGTGGAAATATGCTCAAGTGAGACTTTCAGGTCTTGTAAAAACATGTATCGAATGCAAATGTTCAGTTTGGAGCCTTAAGTAAACTGATAAGACTATTTCCATCAACGTAGATGACAAGGCATATCTCCTCCCAGCCTGTCTGTTTCTCAGTCTCCCTTACTGATGGTTAATAAATATGGGAGTGCTAATCTGGTACGA